TTTCTTTTTTCTATAATGTTCGGGGACGGAGGAGCATTATTTAAAGAAATATATATAAATTATATAATAACAGATAATATTTTTTAATTTTTTAATTAATCTTATTTGTACACTGTTATTCGAAGGCATGTAAACTCGAAGACTTAGATCAAGGACCCCCTATTCTTACTTACCCATTTAGATTGAGGTTTGATAATAATGGCTAACCTTTAGTTAAATCATAAAAATAAATAAATTTGACAAATTTATTTAAGAATTGAAGAATAATTAAACCTCAATATTGATAATTTTATATTAAATTAAAAAATGAATGTGAAATATATATTCCTTAATTCTTTGTAATTATAAAAGTAAAATTAGACATTTAATTATTTCTAACTTTTTGTATAAGTTTCTCAATTGTCAATTTTGATAAAAAGAAGTTTATACGATTTTAGTTGACAAAATCCTTAAATCCATCCGATAAGGAGGGGTAGAGACAGATCTGTCTTTAAAAAATTATAAGGACAAATTGGCTTTTTAAATTATAAATTAAAATAAAATTATAAATCAAAACAAATCACTTAATTTTTAACTTATGATGTTAGAATTTTGTTTATTAAGTAAGTATTTTTTAATAGAAAGTTGACATTATACATTAAAAAATAAATGATTTATTTTAATTTATAATTTATGAAGATAATTTTTTTATATTGTTTCTAAGGATAGATCGAGCTTCAAGCGTTACCTCTCAGATTTGGGGTTTTGCAGATTTTAGTTTGCTTTTATAGTTGGACTAGGTATAGCCACTGCAACGACGACAGAACAAGTCCAAAACTTTCAGACCTCAACGTGTATAGTTTCCGAAATTTTGAAATTTATTCTTTATTTATTTTCATTTAGGAAAGACAAGTTTCCATTCAGCAGAAACATATTTCTTCTTCTACAGGAACGGTGTGGAAAATTACATGAAAAATCAAATAGTTATTGAAGCCTTAGATGAATCAGTGTCTGCAGAGAAGAAAATAACCCAACTTATTGTAGCTTAAAGAAAGCAATAATAGAATCATACACTGCTTCCTTGGCATTTTCAGACATGACGAAATCAAGATGAGCATAATTATCTCTATAATTAAGGACAAGCTTGTCTCCTTGGTGATCTTTGAGGATGCTGAGCAACCGCTTCACATCTTGGACATCAGCAAGGGCATCTGCCCCTCCATAACCGAGGAACAGAGGGAAGTCCTGTGGAATGTTCGTCATGTTGTATGCCGGTGGAGTTGGTTGCCCGTAATGTTTTACGTTCTCTTCCTTCTTGTTGTAGTCATACATATTTATGGTTCCGGTTCGTATCACTGGAATTAAATTAAATAATCACAGGGTCAATCTATACTCTGATTTCGGTTCTTCGGATAATATGAAAAAAATCACTGTTTGTAGAGGAACTAACTCTGAGCCAAATGGATCATGTTCTTGGTTGAGGTAGGTTGGGGTTCATGATCAAGATAAACATTTATTATGGAAGAATTCAGGCAACAGTTCTGACCTGTAAAAAAAAATATATAAAGACATTCTTAAACAAAATATAAAACATACTCTTCTAAAGGAAATAAGGATTGTGAGTCTTTTACCTGTTGAAGCCGTCCACATGTTGGTACAATCAACACCAGGGTTTTGGCAGATTTGTTTGAGAAAACCATTTATAACCTTACTGTCCAACAGAAAGAAAAAAAATTAAAAATGTTGAATGGGAGTGAATCATTATGATAACTTTATTAGTTATTTCTAACAACTTGAACTTATTTAAAGGGTAACATGTAACTCAATATTAAAAGAGTTGTTAGTCAAGTTGGGACATGGTTTTAGATTGTTTCAACATAGCCAAATTTCTATAGCATTTATATGGGCTTCAAATTCAATGGTTCTTACTCTCCAGTATCAAATTCATTAATTCCCAACCCTCTTACTGCCTGTAAAAAGAAGAAAACAACATTGTTAACTCTTAAAGAAGGAAATCCATTGAATGGATAGCTAAAGGAAATGAATGGAAATTTCAGGATAGGTGAATAACCTCTGCAATGTACGTGTCAGCAGCAATTTTTGTAAGAGCAGTAGTGATCTGACCTAAGTAAGCAATTGGGCTGAGCAAGGCAGCTGATCTCAACATGGTCACCAACTGATTCTTCGATAAGGCAGACAAAACCATCAAAGTTCCCTAAGGAATTCCCAGAAAAACAGCATCACCATTGTGCCAATTAAATTGAACAGAAAAGTAAGAGCAAATTGAAACATTGATCTAAAATTCACCAGCGAATGGCCAGCATAATGCAGCTTCTGTCCTGTTTGACTGTGGACATATTGGACTGTGGCAGAAAGATCATAGGATACCAATTCGTCCCACGTCCAATCCCAGTAGGCCTGGAAAAATATGCACTTGGAATTAATGCATGTTGTTCACAAAAAGGTATGACAAAAGGAAGAGATGAGCATTATTGTTAGAGATTATAACTGAGTCATTGAGAGTAAGTGATGTATGGCCGCTGCTGTATTTTGTTCCGCGGCTGTTAGCAATCCAAACTTCATATCCATTATCCGCTAAGCTGAATGCCAATGAACTTTCTGGAGGTAACAACAACCAGATTACTCCGTCCTGCATCACGGAATAGCTTAGGCTGACAAGAGAATGGCAGCATATATAGTTTTAACTTCTAAGGGGATGTAAAGAATCACTAACCGATACTAGGCCGTGTTGTAACAGGACTGGTGGCCTATTTCCAGCCGTCCCACCTGACCTCCCCAGTGGAATTCTTTGTAGGCTGAGAATGTAATCATCCTGTGTAGTTACCTAAAAGACCAATCAAAACACTGTTAAAATCCGAGACTTGATCACCTGCTGAGGATTGTATTCAGCCATATACTTACAGTATGTTCTTCACAAGCATAGCCTTGTGGCTCCACCATGGATTTGCAAACACCGTCATTGGATATGTCATCCTGTATGAATGAAAAACGGCTTGTCCTGCTTCCAACAGCTGAACCACAAAAAAGGATCAAAAGAAATATAACAAAAGTTTTTATTGGACCTTTTGCCATGGTGTCTTGTTTTCCATAATCACAAAGTCCGGACTGTTATATAGTGGATATCGCAAGTATAGCTCAACAAGACCTTTCGTTTGGATTTGTTTATAATTGCATATGTTTAATGAATTAATCTCTCGATTTCTTTCCTGCCACGTTTTCTAATATAAAATTAAAGGAAATATGATATACCATGTGTTTGTTTCATTTGTCAAGAAGATAAGGATAGTGTAGATCCAAAACAGATTTCAGACGAACCAATATCTGGAAGAGGCAATGCAATGTACATTAGGGTTTCTTTTCAATTGATTGATTCTGTGTGTGTAAATTATACGGAGCTATGTGTACAAATATAAGCACATAAAAATCCTTAAAAGAATAAATTTAAATAATTGAAATATTATCGTTCTTTAAATAATGGACAGAGCCATAACATTTTATTTTATAAGTGAAAAATTGTTGGGATGTATTGTGTTCAATACCCAGCTCTTTCTCCACATCCCTTATCAAAAATATATAATAATTATAATGGATAATTACTTTGTTTTTTTTTTAAAAAAAATAATAATTAAAATATTGTCATTAATGATTTATTTTTGGCCCAATGTTTTTAATGATCCAAACAAACAAATAACACTTCCCTTAGAATGATCGTTATTAAATAAATTACAATACGTTTATGAGCCCGTTTCAGTTGGTCATATATATTGATCAAGCCATTTTTGTTTGATAATGTACTATTATGTAATCATTTATTCCTTCGGTAAAAAAATAATTAGAATTAAACAACTTCAAGCAACTATTTCCACAACTATATAAGTAAAATATTTTAAAATTAGATTGAGTATACCTACGATTTTACACAACAATACAAACTTGTATTCCTTTTGAAAGATCCAGTAACATATAAAAGAGAATAAAGAAAAATTGAATAATCCATGAAACATGAAGGATTTTCAATCAACAAGAAACATGTCACATTAGCATTCAAAATACTTGGAATAATTTGTTCCCGATTATCTTCATCAAGTGCCTCGACGCCGGTAACCTTATCACTGCGTTGACCTTCTTAATCTAAAATTATTAGTCTTTCTTTTGATGACCTTAATCTTTATGTCACCGACCATCTTGAGGGCATCTGGTTGCAGTTTCATTTGTATTATTAAATCTGAATAGCACCAACAAGAGTGTAAGGCATCAAGTCTCATGCGGAAGAATAAATGTAAGTGGTATATAAATATAAATGAAGAAAAATAATTACTAATAATTTAAGTTTATATTTTTAAAAATTTATGAATCTGAGCTCAAATAATTATTAGGTAAATCATTTTAATGTGTTTTGTCGGGTTGATGATACCTATATATGTAGACACAAAAGTTCGTAATTATTGAATCGCATCCCAAGTGAAGATTTTTTTGATCAAGTGCATGTGTGATTGCCTGCACTGATGCCCATAAATAAGATATGTGTCTAAATTACATGGGACATTTGCCTTGTTAAATAAAATAAATGAAGACACGTGATTAAGTAAAATGATAATAGATGTTTTATTTAAATTAAAAATATACTTGGAATATATGATAAAAGCATAGATCCCAATTAAAATATATAAAGAATATTCTTTATAAGATGTCATTTTTATTTTCTTATAAATAGAGGCATTCTCTGATAAGGAGGGGAAACATTTTTTAAAGAGATGTATAAGTACTTTGCGATGATTGTGTCTTAAAATCTAAGAAAGACACATCAAAGACAAGGAAATTCTTCCTCAAATTCACTTGTCAAGATCAAGTTTTATTCAAGTTCTTAATGTGTTCTACATTAACTTGAAGGCTAGACTTTAAAATAGAAAGGTTCTTCCTCAAACTTTTCTTGCCATGATCAATCTTCATTTAAGGCCTTAATAGGATCTACTACACCAACTAGGAAATTGAATCAAAAGATTACTTTTTATTGTTTGTTATTCCACTATTGTTACCCATAAATTTCAAATTAATGTAAATATTTACTTCTACAATTTTCATGTCTATTTGATTTTTAAGAATAGAATTGTTGTTTATAAATTTCTGTTTTTTATGATGACGATGCACCTTCTAGTCCAATCTGGACAAGAAGTGCGCATCCTCCCTGGTGCTCCTTAGGGAGGAGGGCATGCCACCAAGGTTTTTAAAACTGGATGGGACCGACTTGTTGAATCGGTCAGACCGATACTCGATAATAAAAATGATTCGATTTATATAAAAAAATCGTTTAAAGTCAAAATCGGTCAAAATCGATCAAAAATCAGTCAAAATCGATAAAACCAGTGGAACCGATAGAATCGAAAAAACCACCGGTTCAATTTCTCATGCAATCTTCTTTCTATTTTTTTCAATTTCACCCTCACCATTCTTTTCTTATACCAATTTTAACCCTTAATTTTAATAAAATTACAAAATTGCCTGCCCCTCATCAGATTCTCCCTTATTGTTTGGACCGATTGGTTCACTGATTCAATCGATTAAACCGATCAAACTGAAAACCAAACTTGAAAATGGTTTAATAACCGATTCGGTTTTAAAAACCTTGCATGCCACACACCCTAAGTCGAACTTAGGTTCGACCATGATGCCCAAATGGGCCTTCTTGAATTTTTCAGTTCTTTTTCTTGAACCAATTCAAACTTAAATTAATTTAGATTGAATAAAAATTTAATCAATTTAATTTTTAAAATTTTTAAACAATTAATTTATTTTTTATGTGAAAATATAAAAAATTTTAATATGATTTTTCTCTTAATAAAACATAGGCCCTAACCATAAAAAAGCCAATTTTGTATTTTTTTTTATACTAAACTTCTAATATTTGAAAGTTATATTTAATTCCGTTTAATTTAAAGTTATGTTAAAATTCATAAAAGAAAAAGTTCTCTCATAACTTGCGTCTTCATTTATAAGATTTAAATTTAAAATTTAATTTAAAAAAGCAAATTTTTTCACTCAATTAATATAATAGATTATTAGTCTAATTTTATTGAAAAATGATTGGTATACCTTCCAATTTAATATATTTAACAACATTCACATTGATTCAATTATTAAAATTTACCTTAAACAATTTTTTCATATTAAATTCAAATTTAAAAATATTAATTTTTTTTAATGACTGAACTATTAAGTATTATTAGGTGTTTTAAATCAAAAAGTTTATTAACCATTATTCAATTTTGTTTTGTTTGTAAATAAATTAAAGTCCAAATTTCAACCATTTCATGGGCGTTTTCCTACTCGAAGCTTTACCCATAGTTTCTTCTAGAAAATCGTTTTTTCTAAACGTGTTTAGGCCGCCCTATGCGTGGGTATTGAATATTTTTATGTATCTTTTATTAATATTTTAAATAGTGTTGGGTATAAATTAAGGAATAAGGGAGAGTTTTTAATTTTTGGGCCGTGAAGATAGAGTACTTGAATAATTTAAAAATTTACATGTGTAACCTAGATACTAAGAGTAATTATAACGGTGATAATTTAAAAATATTTATGTGTATATTAAAAATATTTTTAAATTGATTTAATATTTATAATTATTTAATTTTAACATTTATAGTTATTTAATTAATAAATTTATATTTTTTAATATTTATAAATTTTTTATATTTAATAAATTAATTATATATATTTAATCAAGGCCAAAGCCCCTATTTGCACCATCCATTTATTTTTTTTCCGTGGTCAACACCTTCTAGAATTTTTCCTCCCTATTCGCACCTTCCACTTTTCAAAACCAGTGAAAAACCCAATATTTTAACGGGCCGTCACGGCACCGTTAATAACCGTTAGAAATTGTAATATGTGGCATCAAACAGTAACATAATCCAATGTGGACTTTTTTTTTATGATATGGCATAATTAAACCATAATTAATTTTAATTTTTTCATTTTTTTCTTTCCCGCATCATCTTTACCATCTTCCTCTTCATCCTCCTGGGTTCCTCATGGAACCAGGAACCTAGAACTTTATGTCACATTTATTAATCCAATGTTGGATTTTTTTTTTATAATGTGTTATAATTAAATCATCATTAATTTTAATTTCTTCATTTTCTTCTTTCTCGGCATCATCTTCACCATCCTCATCCTCGTCCTCGCGAAACCCAGGTTCTGAGTTTTTCGTGGAACCTAATTTCACATGAATGCCTACCAAGCTAAGATTTTCATCCACACAATTATAAGTAAATGAATACTGCACAAAAACATGATAAGCATCTTCTACTCCTTTCCCACAAAAAACGAAAAAAACTCAAATTGGCAACCTATTCAGAAACAATCTCCAAGCAAAAAAACTCACATTTCCAACAAAAAATTTATTCCAAATTGCTTTGCATAAAATCGAAAACTAAGATAAATACATTCAAAATCAAAAAATCAAAAAGAAAAATGGTTGGAACCCAGTTTTTGGGTTCCCGCGTAGGAACCCAAATCTGGGTTCCTACGCCAGCAACCTAGTTTCTGGGTTCTTCGCGCAGGAGCCCAGAACTGGGTTCCGCGCAGGAGCCCAGAACTGGGTTCCGCGTAGGAACCCGAACTCGGTTCCCCGCGAGAAACCCACTGAGAAGAGGATGGTGAAGATGATGCCGAGGATGAGGAGGGAAAGAAAAAAATGAAAAAAATGCAATTTATGTAACTGTTTGATAATATTATAATTTTTTATTATTTTTATTGTATACGTGGCATCCACGTCTGTAAAAAATAAACCACGTCATAAAAAAAAAGATCCACGTTGGATTACTAATGTTACATAGTGCCACGTCAATTTTTGGGTGCTAGGTAATATATTTTTTAATGGTGCCGTGACGGCCCGTTAAAATATTAGGTTTTTCACGGGTTTTGAAAAGTGAAGGGTGCGAACAGGAAGGAAAAATTCTGAAAGGCGTTGACCACGAAAAAAAAATAAATGGAGGGTGCAAATAAGGGCTTTGGCCTTTAATCAGTCCAAAATTTGATATATATAATCTATATAAATGAAAAGCTAAATGTATGGTTGATTTTTAAGTATATTTATTGGGAAATGGTTTTTTAAAGTTGGGACTTCTGGTTTCTTACATGAGTCAAGACTAATAAACCACTCTCTAATAATATATATAGAGATTAATGTATATTAATCTCTATTTCCATTAAAAAATTGTAGTATCAATTAAAAAAAAATCACTCTTTAACAAATATTTTTAAAAATTAATAATTGAATTTAATATTTTATTTATATAGATTATGCATGTTAGTTTTTAAATTGATCTAATATCATAATCATTTGATCAAGAAACTTTTATTTTATCATGTATTAAACAACATTAAATTTTCTACAATGAACTAGTTATATATATTTAATTAATCTAAAAATTGATATGAATAATTTATATAAAAACAAAATAAAATTTAACTGTTTGTTTTTTAAAATATTCATTAAAAGATGATGTTTTTAAGTTGAGATTGTAATTTTTTTTATAAGAATTGGAACCAATATGCATTTT